CCAAATCGATCTAAGATGTAGTGGCTCAAACGGGTCCACCATAGTTTATCTGACGAGTGTATCCAGCCATAACATCGATGACCGGTCGCTGGCATTTCTCGGCCCAAAGCCGCAAGCCGATTCTTCACAGTATTTACAACAATAAAGATCTCGCCTTTGGGTGGGTCATTCAATCCTGTAATCCCCGGATGTAACCCCGTTATCCGATTCTGATTACTTGAGCCAACCGTGCCACGAGTAATGTAGCCGCAGTGAATGCGCTCATGTTCTTCCGTTAATCTCCATGACATCTCCCGAGGGACAGCTTGACACCGGAGCTCGGCAAGTGAACGGTGGCGAGGAATCGGAGGAAGGTAGAGATGGCCACCGTCGTCGTGATGCAGCCACTGCTCCATTCCAAGAAAAACGGCGGCGGGATCTTCTATGGAATCCCCAAACAAATAATCTGGCTTTCGTAGCGGGTGCGTAGAACTTGGGTCCTTCACGGGATGCAACATGCAGTATGATATCTCGATATTTAACTCATGAATAAAAGAGGCGGTTATGATATACCTGTGCAGCTGAACGGCGCCGGCTCGGGCGACTGAGCCGCCGAACGGCCTCGAACTACGCGAGATCTCTTGGGTGACATATCTGCAGAGAATTAACAGGTCAATTACAATGAAAATGGAGAAATATCAGATTAATGCAAGGAAAAATGGTGCTCCGGTCAGATTTAAGTAGTAGGCTCGATACCGATACAGTTTCAGCCCACAACAAGTCGTGCAACAATTTAAGCCTGAATTTCAGGAGTTCAGCCGAAGTCATCTACGTGGCCAACAATAAAACCCGACGTGCCTACAAATCAGGCTATTGTGTATGCTAAAAGTCCGGTATAACAGCTATCGTGCACAACTAGAGGCCCAAGGGTACTAGACTTTAGCTCGACCCAAATTTGTGCATACAAGGGTTTGGCCGTAATGACAAATCTCAACCAAGAGTGGACACAACAGAGCATCCTAAATATACAAGTCAAATGGCGGGTATAGATATATGTCACGAGTTATGGAGAGTTGCAACAACTAAGTAAAGGGTTCGGTTCAAGCTTTGAACGCAGGCTTATTAGCCCGATTCCCATTCTCAACCAAAACAAACCCGAGACCCAGAACCAGAAGATCAGAACCAACATGCAGGCCAGGTTCGGGCATGGAATCAAATAAAGAACAACATGGAAATTGGCCATACAACTGAAACATTAAAGCAGATAAACCCAGACTAATCCCCCTCAAGTGATCGGCCACCATTCAAGACCAGGATTTGTGTTTTCCCCCAAATCAAAAGCTAGGGTTTTGGAAAATCAAGCATTCAAAAAGAAGAGATCAAAACTGAAGCCATAAAGAAGTAAAACCCTTACCCGAGTTGGAAGAAGGATCAAGAAGAACGAAAACCTCGAGAATCCACAAATGCTCAAGATCAAAATCGAAACCCTAGTTCCCAATTCGTGAACTCAGCGGGATTTGAGAAAGATTGAAGAGGTTTGAAGAAAAGAGTAAAGAGGACTCAGAGGTTCTGAAATGAGTTCTTGAAGAAAAGGCTCGAAGAAGAATATTTGAAATGACGAACGAAGAAGAAGAACAGTTCGGTTTTAAACCCCCAAAGCTGACTCGCAAAACCCGAGTCACAACAAGCTGACTCGCAAAACCCGAGTCACAACAAGCTGACTCGCAAAACCCGAGTCACCACAAGCTGACTCGCGAAACCCGAGTCACCATAAGCTGACTCGCGAAACCCGAGTCACCATTAGTTGACTCGCAACACCTCAACCTCCATTTGCTGGCTCGCACACATGCGAGTCACCATTCGCTGGCTCGCATGTATAGCGAGCTGTTCGG